GGTAGTCTGTCTCAGCCTCTGATACGAAGGATGGGACATTCTGGGTAGTCTGTCTATCTCTGATATGAAGGATGGGACATTCTGGGTAGTCTGTCTCTCTCTGATAGGAAGGACGGGACATTCTGGGTAGTCTGTCTCTCTCTGATATGAAGGACTGGACATTCTGGGTAGTCTGTCTCTCTCTGATAGGAAGGATGGGAGATTCTGAGTAGTCTTTCTTGGTCTTCTGATATGAAGGACAGGAAATTCTGGATAGTCTGTCTCTCTCTCTCTGATATGAAGGATGGGACATTCTGGGTAGTCTGTCTTTCTCTGAAATGAAGGATGGTACATTCTGGGTAGTCTGTCTCGGTCTCTGATATGAAGGACGGGACATTCTGGGTAGTCAGTCTCTCTCTGATATGAAGGCTGGGACCTTATGGGTAGTCTGTCTCTGTCTCTCTCTGATATGAAGGACAGGACATTCTGGGTAGTCTGTCTCGGTCTCTAATATGAAGGATGGGACATTCTGGGTAGTCTGTCTCTCTCTGATATGAAGGACAGGACATTCTGGGTAGTCTGTCTCGGTCTCTAATATGAAGGACAGGACATTCTGGGTATGGGTCTGTAGTCTCTCTCTGATATGAAGGACAGGACATTCTGGGTAGCTGGGACATTATGGGTAGTCTGTCTCTCTGATATGAAGGCTGGGATTTTAGAGGTCTCTGTTTTATTATGCATTTTGTTTTTATCTTGTGTTCTCTGTCTTTAAGACTTTTCTATCTGTAGTAAAATATCTTTGTTAAACAGTTGGTTGCATAAAAGTTAGGTTTATTGTTTCTTACATTTTTTAGTTGTTTTTGATCTTCCCTGGTATCTCTGTAAGGTAGATACAATGCAGGTATTGGTATTAGGAGACATTTCTTGGGGCTGCTGCAGTTCCTCTGAACTCCACAAGATGGTGATCTCATTTCTACTACCCAGACAGGACTTCTCTATGGAATATGAACAGGAAGTGATGTCAGGAACAGACAGGAAGTGATCTGGAATAAAGATAAGAAGCTCCATGCGGTCTGAAGGAGATCGGAGAGGTTGGTGGACATGGCAGTAAAGGGAGTACTTATATTATAAAGGATTTATATAGCGCCAACAGTTTGCTCAGCGCTTTACATAATGGAGGGAGACAATACAGCAACAATACAAACAAGATTGCAGATGGATTCTTGCTGGAATATAGATACTTACATGCGCTCACCTTCCATTCAGCCCACTGCTGAGCTAACACAGCTTTGTGATGTTTATCCTTCATGGAGATCTTTAGAGACTCCCTTGGATACTCCTGATGGTTGATTATCCACTTGCCCTCCTGAGGATTTACCCCCCCCCGTAATGAACACGCCTCTTTTTGCTACTCGGCGCTGCACTAATTCAACTGATAATTGCGCGGTCATGCAATGCTGCACCCAAACAAAATTTACGTCCTTTTTTCACACAAATAGAGATTTCTTTCGGTGGTATTTGATCACCTTTTTATTTTTCACGCTATAAACAAAAAAATTTTTTGAAGAAAAACAATATTTTTTACTTTCAGCTATAAAAAATATATAGTAAACTCAAAGTTGGTTATAAATTTAGGTCAAAATGTATTCTGCTCCATGTTTTTGGTAAAAAAAATCCCAATAAGTGTATATTGATTGCTTTGTGTGACAGTTATAGCGTCTACAAACTATGGTATAGATACTGTAATTTACACCATTTTTCTGCTATACAGCGCTGCACTAGTTTAACGGACAATTGCGCGGTCATGCAATATGGTACATAATGAAATTTATGTCCTTTTTCATCCACAAATTGCGCTTTCTTTCGGTGGTATTTGATCGCCTGTGCATTTTTTATTTTTTGCGCTATAAAAAAAGGCTGACAATTTTGAGGAAAAAAAAACAATATTTTGGACTTTTTGCTATAAAACATGTCCAGTAAAAAAAAAATAAAATTTAGTCATAGATTTCTGCCAAAATGCATTCTGTGACATGTCTTTGCTACAAAAAACCCCAATACGTGTAAACTAATTGGTTTACGTGAAAGTTATAGTGTTTACAAATGGCGGGAAAGATACTGGGATTTTTACTTTTTTTTATACTAATAATGGTGGCGATCAGCGACTTATGGTGGGACTGCAATGGACATTCTGACACTGGGGGGGAACTGACTTGGGGTCACTGACATCCCCAGTGACACCAATACAGTGATCAGTGCAAAAAAACAACTGACACTGTACTAATGGCACTGGGGAGGAAGGGGTTAAGTTTATTATTCAGGGAAAGGGTTATCTGTGTGAGGGGGAGTGTTTTACTAGGGGGCGGGGTGTGTACTGCACGGGACACCGCTAATCAGGACACATAAACTCTTCTGTCCCGATCAGCTTTGTCAGGAGCTGTCAGGGAACTGACAGAAAGCACAGCTACTGCAGCTGTGCTCTCTGTCACTGATTGCCACTAATCGCCAGGACATAGCTGATAACAACCGGCTGTGACCCGTCGAGTGTCATCCGTGGCCATGATCGGCGGGACATGTAGGGTGGCGGCGCACCTCTCACGTGCCCCCTACCTGTTTTAAAAACACATGTTTTAAAACGTGGTTTTGCCTGGCCGTGGTGCCCTGCCGCCGTATTTCTACAGTGGCTGGGCGGCATGTGGTTAAAGATGATTGTGGGTTAGTTTTTTCTCATGGCAATAAAAAGTGCTCCATCTCCTTGTATTATTCCTCGTTGGTATAGTGGGAAAGAGAAAGATACATGGTGCCTTATCGTTTATTAAAAGAACAATTTTATTCACAACTTCTTCTTATGCACTCACAAGTATTCAGTATAAAAAGAGCTGAGTTAAAATCAGTGAAACCGCTACATGCGTGTGTGACAGGTCTCCTGCGTGGTTGCTCACACTCGTCACATAGACTTACACTCGCCGTGAAGTCGGGTTGCTGTGGTGACGTCAAAGCCCCTCCCCAACGCGTTGCGCCATAGGGACACGTGGTCCCTGTGATCACCCCCCGGATGAAGCCACGTGTCCCTGTGGCGCAACGCATTGGGGAGGGGCTTTTTTACGTCACCGCAGCAACCCAACTTCACGGCGAGTATAAGTCTATGTAACGAGTGTGAGCCGCCACGCAGACCTGTCACACGCATTTAGCGGTTTCACTGATTTTAACTCAGCTCTTTTTATACTGAATACTTGTGAGTGCATAAGAAGCAGTTGTGAATAAAATTGTTCTTTTAAAAAACGATAAGGCACCATGTATCTTTCTCTTTCCCACTATACCAATGAGGAATAATACAAGGAGATGGAGCACTTTTTATTGCCATGAGAAAAAACTAACCCACAGACCCACAATCATCCATTATCAACCATCAGGAGTATCCAAGGGAGTCTCTAAAGATCTCCATGAAGGATAAACATCACAAAGCTGTGTTAGCTCAGCAGTGGGCTGAATGGAAGGTGAGCGCATAGAAGTATCTATATTCCAGCAAGAATCCACCTGCAATCTTGTTTGACTAATCAACTTTAATCGAATTTGTGTTGATTTTTTTGGACACTATTCATTTCTTATTTAAATTACTAATATTATGATATTTTTTTTGTTTTTTTTTCACATTTTATTATTTATTTTAAAGTTGTAATAAGTTGATTTGGAAGGTTCATTATTTCTGGAAGTATTCATATCTCACATTTAGGGCGTGGCAATAAGCAATCAATTTACTGTACATTACTACAAAACACATTTATATGAGGATGTGAATAGATGCCTGCTGACCTATATATTTATTTATTATACCTCAATGGCTCGCAAGTAATATATATATATTATTAATACAGTTCAATACAACAGGGATTTGAGGGCCTGATCCTGGGAGTTTATAATCTACGAGGGAGGGGCTAGTGGTACAAAAGGTAGTAACTGTGGGGGATGGACTGGTTGGAAGAGTAGAAGATTCCAGTATTAGCTGAGGGCAGGATAGGCTTCCCTGAAAAGATCGGTTTTCAGAGATTGCCTAAAAGTGAGCAGAGTAGGTGTGAGTAGTCTGATAAATTGGGGTAGAGAGTTCCAGAGGATGGGGGAAGTTCTGGAGAAGTCCTGGAGATTAACATGGGAGGAGGAGACAAGGGAGCTAGAGAGTAGGAGGTCTTGCAAGGAGCGGAGAGGACGGTTTGGGTGATATTTGGAGACAAGATCGGTGATGTAATTTGGAGCAGAGTTATAAATGGCTTTATATGTTATTGTTAGTGTTTTGAATTTTATCTATTGGGCAACGGGAAGCCAGTGGAGGGATTGGCAGAGAGGGGTGGAGTATACTGAGTGGAGGCCAGTGGAGGGATTGGAAGAGAGGGTTGGAGGCTAGTGGAGGGATTGGCAGAGAGGGGTGGAGGATACTGAGTGGAGGCCAGTGGAGGGATTGGCAGAGAGGGATGGCAGATATGGAGTGGTTAGTAAGGTGGATGAGTCTGGCAGCAGCATTCATGACAGACTGAAGAGGGGATAGCCTGCGATGAGGTTGGCCAATGAGGAGGGAGTTACAATAGTCAAGGTGAGATATAACAAGGGAGGGAATAAGTTGCTTTACTTGTTTCCGAGGTTAGGAACGGGCGTATCTTGGAGATGTTGTCTTGGTGAAGTCTACAAGATTTGGACAGTGATTGGATTTGGCGGTGAAAGGACAGATGGGAGTCTAGGATTACACCTAGTACCCTGGCATGAGGGGAGGGACTGATGATTGTATTATTGATCTTGATGGAGAAGTCCGGGGAGGGGGCACAGGCTGGGGAGAATACTAAGAGCTCAGTTTTGGAAATATTAAGTTTGAGGAAGTGGAGTGACATCCATGCCGATATGTCACTTAGTAGGTTAGTAATGCGAGAGGAGACAGGTGAGGTGAGGAGGAGACTGAAGAGCCAAGGTAAGGGTAGAAAGATAGATTTGTGTGTCATCAGCAAAGAGATGGTACTTAAAGCCGTGGGAGTTTATCAAGTGACCAAGGGAGGAGGTGTAGATGGAGAAGAGAAGGGGTCCAAGGACAGAGCCTTGAGGGACCCCTACAGAGAGAGGGAGTGAAGAGGAGGAGGCAGAGTTATCGGTAAACACTGAAGGAGTGCTGCGATAGGTAGGAGGAGAACCAGGAGAGAGCAAAGTTTCGGAGGCCAAGAGAGTGTAGTTTTTTGAGGAGGGGGTGGTCAACCATATCAAAAGCCGCAGAGAGGTTAAGTAGTACGAGTACGGAGTAGTGGCCATTGGCTGGTATGAGTACGGAGTAATGGCCATTGGCTGGTATGAGTACGGAGTAGTGGCCATTGGCTGGGATGAGTACGGAGTAGTGGCCATTGGTTGGGATGAGTATGGAGTAGTGGCCATTGGCTGGGATGAGTATGGAGTAGTGGCCATTGGCTGGGATGAGTATGGAGTAGTGGCCATTGGTTGGGATGAGTATGGAGTGTTGACCATTGGTTGGGATGAGTACGGAGTAGTGGCCATTGGCTGGGATGAGTACGGGAGTAGTGGTCATTGGTTGGGATGAGTACGGAGTAGTGGTCATTGGTTGGGATGAGTACGGAGTAGTGGCCATTGGCTGGGATGAGTACGGAGTAGTGGCCATTGGCTGGGATGAGTACGGAGTAGTGGCCATTGGCTGGGATGAGTACGGAGTAGTGGCCATTGGCTGGGATGAGTACGGAGTAGTGGCCATTGGCTGGGATGAGTACGGAGTAGTGGCCATTGGTTGGGATGAGAAGGGAATAGCGACCATTGGTTGGGATTAATACAGAGTAGTGGCCATTGGTTGGGATGAGTATGGAGTAGTGGTCATTGGTTGGGAAGAGTACGGAGTAGTGACCATCGGTTGGGATGAGAAGGGAATAGCGACCATTGGTTGGGATTAATACGGAGTAGTGGCCATTGGTTGGGATGAGTATGGAGTAGTGGCCATTGGTTGGGATGAGTACGGAGTAGTGGCCATTGGTTGTGATGAGTACGGAGTAGTGGCCATTGGTGTGATGAGTACGGAGTAGTGGCCATTGGTTGGGATGAGTACGGAGTAGTGGCCATTGGTTGGGATGAGTACGGTGTGAGTAGTGGCCATTGGTTGGGATGAGTACGGAGTAGTGACCATTGGTTGGAATGAGTATGGAGTAGTGGCCCATTGGTTGGGATGAGTACGGAGTAGTGGCCATTGGTTTTAGCAGTTAGTAGATCATTAGTGAGTTTTAGTAGTCCAGTTTCAGTGGAGTGTAGTGAGTGAAAGCCAGACTGTAAAGGGTGAAGAAGGTTGTTGTCGGTGAGGTGGGAGCTCAGGTGATTGTAGACTAAGCATTCTAGGAGTTTAGAGGTAAATGGCATCAGGGAGATGGGTCTTAAGTTGTTCAGGTTGGTGGGGGTCCAGGAGGGCTTGTTAAGTATGGGAGTGATGTGCGCATGCTTTAGAGGGGAGGGAAGGCACCAGTAGAGAGGGAGAGTTTGAAGATGTGAGTGAGGGAGCATAGGATGGAACAAGAGGGTGACCATAGTAGTTGTGAGGGGACAGGATCCAGGGGGCAGGTAGTGAGACGGGCTTCTGAGAAAACCTTAGTGACCTCTTCAGTAGTAGCGAGGTCAGAAGAGGAAATTGTTGAGGGAGGTTTAGTATAAGGTATGCTAAGTGGGATGGATGTCTGTGCAGTGGTGATGCCGCTATGAATTGCATCAATCTAGTTTTTTGAAATGATTTGCAATCTCATGAGCAGTGAGTGAGGTACTGGGTGGAGGTGGGGTGGAGAAAATGATTCTGTCATAGAGGAGGTCAGTTGCAGAGTGGAAAGGAGCCGGGTTCAAGTTTGTGAAGGTTTCTGCGGGTAATTGTTGGCTGCTTGGAGGGATAGGTGTTTGAAGACGAAGAGACTGTGAAGGTGATGAGATTGTGATCAGAGAGAGGAAAGGGGGTGTTTGGTGAGGTTGTAGGGTGTGCAAAGATGGAAGAAAACAAGGGGTCTAATGTATTTCCCATCAGAGTGAGTGGAGGACGGTATACATTGTGCTAATGCAAAAGATGAGGTTATGTTGAAGAGTTGGGATGTAGCGGGTTGTTGACATTAATAGGAATGGTAAAATCTCTGAGAATGATAGCGGGTAGTTCAGAGGAAAGAAAGTAGGGCAGCCAGGCGGAGAAATCATCAAGAAAGCGGGACACGGGTCCAGGAGGACGATAGATCACTGCATCCTCAGAGAAATGGGAGAAAACAGCCGGATGCAGTGAGTCTGGGAAGAAGAGAAGGGACTAGAGAGGGAGGGTTATGGAGGACTTGAAAGGTGCTCAGTGGGGATAGAAGCAAAACCAACCCAACCACCTTTCTGACCACTGGGTCTGGGTGAGTGGGTCCAGAGGAGGCCTCCATAGGAAAGTGCTGCGGGGGGGAAGCAGAATTGCTGCTTGGAGTCAGGTTTCTGTTAATTGCTAGTAGGTTAAGGGAGCGGGAGAGGGAGACAAAAAGGTCATAGACAGAGGTGAGATTATTACAGACAGCGCGGGCATTCCAGAGCGCACATGAAAAAGGGAGGGTGGTTTTTGGGAGCACGAGGACTCCTATTAATTGAGGGGATTGCGGCTATTCCTGGAGGAAAGAGGGTGCTGGTGTGCGGGGGAAATACTGGAGGACCAGGGTTTGGAGGGAGATATTCCCCAGAGGTTAGGAAAAGGAGGATGCCTTGGTGCTGGGGTGAGATAATGGAGGACCAGGGTTTGGTTGAGATTATTCCCAGAGGTTAGGAGAAGAAGGATGCTTGCTGCGGGGAGGTGAGATACTGGAGAACCAGGGTTTGGGGAGATCTCTCAGAGGTAAGGAGAAGGAGGGTGCCTGGTGTGGGGGTGGATAGTGGAGGACCAGGGTCTTAGGGGGAGCTATCCCCAGAGGTTAGGAGAAGAAGGATGACTGGTGCGGGGGTGAGTTAGTTGGAGACCAGGGTTTGGGGAGCTATCCCCAGAGGCTAGGTGATGGAGGGTGTCGAGTGTGTTAGTGGAGGACCAGGGATTGGGGAGCTTATCCCCAGAGGTTAGGAGGGAAGGAGGGATGGGTGTGGAGTGTGATAGTGGAGACCAGGGTTTTGGGGCCAGTTATCCGAGGAGGTTAGGGAGAAGGAGCAGGGTGCCTAGGTTTGAGGGGGTGAGATAGTGGAGGACCTGGGTTTGGGGAGATATCCCGCGATAGGAGAAGGTGGTGCCTGGTGTGGGGGGTGGGTGTGTGAGATAGTGGGGCCAGGGTTTG